GATTACTGGAAAAAATTAGTCCCCCTGCTAACAACCCAGTACCCCTAAAAACCACTTTCTGGTCATTTCACCGGGGTATTTGTTGTGTTTTTCTATATTGTTCCGACGTCCGAGACGTGTTTTTTCTTCTTTATTCTCTTTCTTGGTTTACCTGGTGCCCCAGATGATAAATGGTTGTGGCTATCGTTACATTCAGATATCGGAAGTTGTTGGCATTTTATTGAGATTAAAACTGGAGGCTTATAGAGTAGTTTTTTTAGTTGATGCCCACGCTGGATAGTGGCCTGACAAAGACGATCGTTGCTTTTGATTGGACGGTAAAGGTGAATAGTTTCTAAAGCTTTTCCTAGCCATGAATTTAATTTTTTTGAATAGGAATTGATAAAACTGGGCCGTTAACAGGGAGAAAACAAATGTTTGTTTTTCCGTTTAATAAATCGTATATTTTGATCATGTTTTTTTGTAGTTTCAAAGTTCATTACTTCTAGAAGGGTACAAAAACTATTTTAAACGCTGAAAAATTTTCCATATATTTTTGAGCAAAAAGTCAAGAATTTCCATGGTTTTTATAAGTTTTTTTACGAGCTTTTATATCTAAAATTGGGTAAAATATTATAAAAATTGTTGAGATTTTGTTATATCCAGTACCAAACTAGACAATTACAGCTCTCCGCGCCGGTTGACTGTTCTCTCGACTCCTTGCGCACCATCTTCACGCTCTTCTTGCGCTTCGACGACGCCACCGAGGAGCGCTACGAGTTTACGGCAGAGGAGGTGCGATTCTGATCATTCGAACACTCTTTTTTCCAGTTTGAAAGATTCCGCAGCAGCCTGCCCTCCATCAAAACAGCCTAAAAGATGTACGCCAAACTACCACCCAGTTACATCACAAAATCATCGGTAGGCATTGAAAATTGGGACCTTTCGCATTATCGGGGGGAGCGGGAAATCTATAGCTTTGATATTTTCCATTAAAAATTCGCAATTTTTAGATTTAGGAATAGCAAAAAAACAGTTGTTTATAAACACCTCCACTAATTATATTTGGAAAATTCGATCCCAGGTAAAAAAGTTGGTCCCCCCGATAATGCGAAAGGACCGTAAGATGTTTAAACTTCCGCTTGATCCTTTAGATCTACTGCATCGGTGGTGGGTTGCTCGGCTTTGGGGCTATTGAGCTTCTCTTCGGTGGCGAGGTCTTCTACGATAAGGGGGTAACTCCAAAACCATTTTTTAGTGGATTCTTTTTAGTTAATGCCGCTGGTGCACCGGCTCAGCGACGGCGAGACGGCACATCGATGGGCCATCAAAGTAAGAAATGTTTGTTCTTGAAACTGTTGTTTCTGTTGAGGCGTGCAAGCTTGGGCTTTTGCCCCGATTTGGCCCGAACCATTGGGAATATCCGGAGCTGGAGTGTGAGGTAAGAGAAGCGCTGCACGAAATCTATTTATTTTTAGTTTGCCGGTCAGAAATTGAAGAACCCGATCGGGCTTGCCGCCGGTTTTGACAAGGTTGGTCGCTCTCTTTATAAGGGTGGAATAGGATAACGGTAGCAGCATTTTTCTAATAGATTAAAATATTGTGGGATCTCATGAGCGCCATTCGATAGTGCACCGAAAAATATCCCCACAGAATTATTTTCAGCGCGGAAAAATGTAACATAAAGGTTTTATGGCATACAAACTTTGGTTGAAAATTATGGGCACGGTCCCTTTTTGGCATTTATATGCATTTTCGACCGTTTGAATTGATTTTTGAGAATGAATTCGATAGAGGGCTGAAAAACATACTAACAGCTTTTTCATAGCCCGAAAAAAGCTCTTTGCGCCCTCCGTTATCCTATTTTTACCTTTATAAGTCCAGAATTGCTTTTTAGGACGGTGAAGCGATCCTCCCACTAGCCAACAGCGGATTCGGCATGATCGAAATTGGTTCAATCACGCCGCTTCCTCAACCCGGAAACCCACAACCACGCGTTTTTTCGGCTCGAGGAGGATCGGGTTTGTATTAGTTTTATCTTGGCTTAAATATTGGAATTTTGGGCTGTAATAAATCGCTACGGGTTCAACAGCGAAGGCGTGGGGAAGGTGCAAGTGCGTGTTAAGGTGCGTAAATGCTTCTTGCCTCGCATAAAATGAAAACAGGCTGCACGCGCCGCCCCATGGTCCCCCGGGATGGCCGTCTTCGGCGTCAACCTCGGCAAGAATAAGATGACTTCGGATGAAAAGTAAGCTCGTTAATTTATAGTGGATTTCGTTTTTGGCACTGGGCTGTTAGCGGGGGGGGGGGTACAAATTTTATTCCGCGTTACCTGTTAAGAAAATATAGTCTATTTTTATCGTGTTTCTAGTAGCTTTTAAAGGCTAGAAAGTTCCAAAAAATATTTTGGGACTTTTAGATCGAAAATTTGGACTTTTTTGGTAATTTTTCACACACCAAAAACTTCATAATTTTCGAAGTTTGAAAAAGTTTGTCTAAGCATTTCATGTCCAAGAAATTTTCATAACTTAAAATTCAAAAATTTTGTAAATTTTATAAGTTTTTTATACATAAAGCTGTATAAAATGCTATGAAAATGGCTTTTATTTGGTATGAAACTTTACAGGATCAGTTGGAAAAATTCGTGCTTCCCCCCCTGCTAACAGTCCAGTACCCAGTTTTTGTTTTTTTTAGTTGCAAACTCGACTACGAGGTCGGCGTCAATCATTTTGCGATGAATTCCGACTACCTGGTCGTCAACGTGTCTTCGCCGAATACCCCAGGGCTTCGCTCGATGCAAGGGAGAAAACCGTTGGAACAAGTGAGTCATTAATTTCTGCGTTTTTACACGAAAAATGTAAGCTTCTCGCCTACGTGAAGCGCGCGGTGGATATGCACAAACTGCCGAACCCGCCGAAGATCTTCCTCAAGATCGCCCCCGACTTGGTCGACGCCGAGCTGGCAGATATCGCAAAGGTAATTTTGCCCTTTAAAAAATTATATATTTTTGCCTTTAGGTTGTCATGGATCCGAAATTTGGCGTGGCTGGGCTCATCATTTCGAATACCACAATCAGCAGACCAGACTCACTGCAAAGTTCGGAGAAAGGTATGCGCAGAAGCGTGTGATAATTGTTGAAATGTTCGATTTGCTATCAGAATGCCGAAAATTTGGTTCGAAAATTATAATGTCGTAATTTGAAAATGTCTCGAATCTCAGAATGCCGAAATTTGAGAATGCCGAAATTTCTGCATGCCAAAAATCAGGATTTCGAAATTCATTATGTCGAAATCTATGTCGAAAATTTCTATGTCCAAATTTCGAAAAGTCGACATTTTTTTCAATAGGATTTGGTAGTCCTGATGATTTTCCTATGCTAATTTCGGCATTCTGAAATTTCGGCAGTATGAAGTTTCGACATTATAAAATTTCGAAAAGAAATTTCGATACGATTTTCGACATTATTATATTTCGCCAATTGAAACTTCGGTATTACGAAATTATCACATCTCGACATTGTGATTTTCGACACTAGGAATTTCGACATTAGGATATTCGAGATTTTAAAGTAACCCAAAATATTCAGATCAAACCGGCGGTCTTTCCGGCGTGCCTCTCAAGGAGTTGAGCACGAACTGCATCCGGAAAATGTATAAGTAAGGATTTCAATGCCTTTCAATGTTGTTTTTCTAGGCTAACTGGCGGCAAGGTGCCGATCATCGGCTGTGGAGGCATCGCTTCGGGCGCAGATGCATACGAGAAAGTGAAGGCCGGTGCCAGCGTTGTGCAGCTCTATACGTCGATGGTGTACCAAGGTTTCCCAGTGATAGGACGGGTTAGTCGAAAATCATTTATCCTCACGTGCTTCAGGTAAAACGCGAGCTTGTTGAGTGTCTTCGCAAAGATGGGCTGACGAATATCAGCCAGGCAGTCGGAGCTGACCATCGTGCCACCAAGCCGTAAATTTAGATTTTTTTTGTTTACGATTGCTCATTTTTATACTTTTGTGAATAAAATTAAATTCGATGTGAACCTAATTTTTTTTATCGCTACTGGACTTCTATCAGGGGGTGGGGGTAATTTTTGTGTCAATGGTGTTTTTATAATTTTTTTAGTATTTTTTGACTGCTATAAAGTCACAAAAATATTTTAAACAATTTTGAAAACTCGTAAATTTTACCCGTTGTGGTCATTTTTCATACATTTTTGACCAAAAAGTGAAAAATTTACGAATTTTTCGAAGTTTTTAGGAGCTTTTTATATCTTAAAACTGTTTCAAATGCAAGGAAAATGGTTCATATTTTGTTATAGGACCCTTCCGGGTTAATGGGAAGAATGAAAAAAATGAATTCTTTCGTATATCAGACTTTATCGTGAAAAAAGTAGTCGTAACTTCACTTATACGCAACGGGAAAAATTATTGTTGATGAGTCGAAACTGTGAAGGGCCGTTGGCTGCCGCTGAAGATGTTCGTCTCCGTTCCCCACCAATCTCGAAAGTTGGGTCGCAACATTTTTTCGCTGAATTCTTCCGGTTCCCGATCAAAGCCCTGCGCCAAAACATAAAGTCTGTGGTGCTGAAAAATGTCAAATTCGTTTCGCTTCGCCGGAAATCATGTTGTGAAATTCATTTTGCCTAAATTTCAATTTTTCGAAATTTAAATTTCAGCGCATTGACCTTTTTGGCAAAATGCATTTGGAATTATTATGTCAAAAAGGATGTTGACAAAACGTTGGAAAACTGAAAGCAAATCCTAAAAAGCTCATCCGGATTGCCGTTACAGTATGATGGACCTACCATCTTCGGAGGTTCTGCGTAATTATCGAAAAGCATCGTTCCATCCGGAAACCCGATGGATTTAACGATTCTTTTCAGTCTTTTCGAAAACTGACAATGAAGATCCTCCTAAAACGGACCGGTTCAGAAAACGAAGAAATAAACACTAACCTGGACCTCTTGGGAAGGTCGATAAAAATATTCAAGATCGACCACCATATAGAAGATCCGCGTTTGCTCTCCTTGGGGTGGATCTTCCACAGCGACGTCAAGGCATTGTTGGCCTTTTTGTGCCGCGTGTTCCTATTAATCTATGTGTCTCTATCACTCTCTCTCTATAACCCTCTCTCTCACTCTCTAACTCTATCGCTATCTC